AGCATGCAGACCTGACGAGCTGAGCCTTCTCCTCGCAAAGAGCTGAAAACAAACGCATTCGACGTGCTCCAGAGACGGCCGAAGCTGTGAAGGCTCCTCGCCCTCTGCGAGGTGCTCCTGCCGGCCCGGCAGGGTAACCCCTGTTCGCCCCTCTGAGCTTTTCCTGTCCTGGGTGCCACAAAGCGGGTGGGACATAACGTGTTTCAGGCGATGGGCTTTTGTAGACAGGAAATCAGAAGTCCCAGAAAGAAAGGGCGGGGAGACCGTTCGGACAAAAGAAACTGGCTTCCTCATGCGGCTGATGACTCAGGGGTCTTTGTGGGACAGGATGACAGGATGGAGACTGGACTTTTAAATAGTTATAAAAGCAATGCACTCACATAGTATTTTTTTAAAAAAACAGTATAGAAAAACAAGATCAAATGTCTTTTTCCATTCGTAGTTCTTCAAAGCTCACCACTATTTTTGGTGTATTTCTGAGCGGAAGAAAAAATGTGCCCTTATTGTACCCGTCCCTAAAGGCCACATTCTCATCCGTCGCGCCCATCCCAGTGGATGAGTCCCCAGATCCCAGTCTGCCCGCGCTTCTCCCCCGTCCCGCGAATTGGGGCGACCCTGGCTTCACACGCGCGCGGGCAGCCGCGCCACGCATCCCCAGGGCTGTGCCATACCCGTGGTCCTTCCTGTCGCTTTCGGTTTGGGGCCATTGTGACAGATGCCACAATAAAGGTTTTTTTAGGGCCATCTTTACATACTTTCCTTGCGGTGGTTCCCCAGTCATAGGGGTGCGCAGCCGAGGGTACAGGCTTTGTCAAAACCCTAACATTTATTTTCTCACTGTGATCATAGGGTAGGAAACTTTGATTAGTTGTTAAAAATAAGTGTTTCCACTTCCTTTTTTCTAATTCAGTAATGCATCCTGTTCTCCGAAAAAACGATTTCTCAGCAGTGTTCCTGGGGGCTGGTGCCACAGTGCACCTCTGTAGGGTCAGGTCCCAGCCCGTTGTTCCCAACGCAACGTCTCCCTCAGCCTCAGCCCTGGACAGGCCGGGTCTTCATGCTGCTGTGGGTGTCACTGCTGGCCCTGGGTGAGTAAAGGGTTCCACACCGGCCCTGGGCGGGGCGAGGGCAGCTCCGTGTCCCCCGTGGGAACCAGGAGTCTTCCCTGCCGGGGACCCGCGTTCTCAGGCCTCCCCGCAGCTCAGGGATGCGGCTCCCACGGCTGACAGGTGGCAGGGCCGGAACCACAGTGGCCACGGCACTCGAGGCTGTGTGCGGTGTCGCCCCAACGCCTGACACTCCGTGGAATCCAGAAAACGCGCCGCGTCCACTCGTTTACACGGAGTTAGGACGTCTCTGCACAGGAGAGGCGCTCTGTCCTCGTCTCGCAGGCCCGGGTCCTGGTCCCAGGCGTGGGGACGCGCGCGGGCCAGGCGCCTCGGGCCCACGAACGCCAGCCACAGCGGGGACTGGCAGGCGGAGGAGGTCGCGGGGTCAGGGGGTTGCGGGGGGCACGAACCGGGCCGGGGGAGCAGGCGAGGCAAAGGGAAACCTCAAGCACAAGCAAGTGTTCCTCCTCCGGAGTTTTGAACTATAATTAACAACAATTAAAAAAAAAAGTAGCATTCAGGGCGCACGGGATGGAGTTTTGATGTGTGGACACTGTGAGGTGACTGCCCCGGTCAGGCTCGTCGACCGTTCTGCCGCGTCGCTGATCCCCTGCGTGCGTGTGTGCTGAGGACTCACTCCCGGGGTCTACTCGCAGCAGGTGCCAGGTGGCACCGTCCCCGCCTGCAGTCACCGTGCCGCGCATCCCACCCCCAGGACGTGTCCGTCTTACAACCGAAAGTGCGTTTTCTTGGAGCAGCTTCTCCCCGTTCCCGCTGGCAAACACCGTTTCGCGTCTCTGCGACCAGCTTTTCTGGGCTTCCCGTGTGAGCGAGCTCAGGCAGGTCTGTGTGCGTGTGTCTGGCCCTCCTCATGCAGCATGAGGTCCTCCGGCTCGTCCTTGCGGTCGCAGAGACAGTGTCCCCTCTTTCTTGGGGCTGAACGACATTCCGTCGCGCTCACAGGCCTCGTCTTCATCATCCGTGCTTTCTGCATCTCGGCTGCCGTGAGCATGGCCGTGGGGATTCCGTCAAGAAGTCCGGTTGCCAGCTTTATTTTAAATTTGGGGGGGCGGCCTCCAGACCGTTTCTTGTAGAGGCTGCACCGGTTTGCAGCCCCATCTGCGCTGCACGAGGCTTCTCTCTTCAGGTCGTCACCCCCGCTTGCTCTCTCTCGTCTTTCTGGTGATGGCCGTGCTGACAGGTGGGGGGCGACACCTGGCCACTGCGTTGATTTGCATCTCCCTGGTGATTGGTGATGCTGGGCATCTTTTCATGCACCTGTTGGCCAGCTGTGTGTCTTCTGGGGAGAATATCTGTGTCCTTACCTGCTTTCGATCGGGTCATTTGTTTTCTTGCTGCTTATTTGTTAGCGTCCCTCACGGATTTCAGATATCGACCTCTTATTGTACGTGTGGTGTGCGAATATTTTCTCCGATTCCACAGGTTACCTCTTCCAACTGTCGATTGTGTTCTTTGCTGTGCAGAAGCTTTTTATTTTGATTCAGTCCCGCTTGCTTATGTTCGTATTTGTTTCCCGTGCTTTGGGGATTTTATCCAAAAAATGACGTCCTGGCCCAGTGCCACGAGGCTCTTTCCGTTTCCTTCCCGGGGTTTTAAAGTTTCGGTCTCACATTTGAGGCATTCATCCATTTCGACTTGATTTTTGTACACGATGTGATATAAAGGTCCGATTTTAGTTTTCCTTATGCGGATATTCAGTTCACCCAACGCTGCTTTGGGACGAGACCGTCCTTTGCCCATCTCCGTGCCTCCCGGGCTCCCGGTGAAGACCAGCGGCCCCGCAGGTCCCCCACCTCTAGACTCTGGTGCCACATTCTCGATTCCCACAGCTTCGCGTGGGATTCGAACTCAGGAAGCGTGAGGCCTCCGGTTTCGTCCTTCCTGCTCGAGACTGCTTTGGCTTTTCGGGGTCTTTTGTGGCTCCATTTGAATTTTATGGTTGTTTTTTTTCCTATCTCTGTGAAAAATGCCCTTGGAATTTTAATAAGGTTTACACTGGTTCTGTAGATCACTTTGCGTAATATGAACATGTAGATAATATTAATTCTCCCAAACCATGAGCCTGAGATATCTTTCTATTCGTTTGCGGCCTCAACTCCTTTCAACAATGTTTTGTATTTTTCAGTTTAGAGATTGTTCACTTCCTGGGGTAAATGTATTTCTAAGTATTTTATTCTTTTCGCTGCTGTTCTAAGTGGGATATGTTTTCTTAATTTCTTTTTCAAATAGTCCATTATTAGTGGACAGAGATGCAACTAATCTTCGTACATCGATTTCATATCCTGCAGCTTTACTGAATTCATTTGTTAGTTTCGACAACTATTTGGTGGAGTCTTTAGGGTTTCTTTATATAAGATCAAACAGTCTGCAAACAGAGACAGTTTTACTTCTTTCATTCTGATTTGGATGTCGTTCTTTCTCTTTCTTTCTTTTTTTATTCATTACTCTGGCGAGGCCTTGCCATACTATGCTGAAGAGAAGTGGCCGGAGTGAGCACCCTCACCTTGCTCCCAATCTTGGCGGGAAATGCTTCAGCTTTTTGCCACTGAGAAAGATGGCAGCTGTGGGCTTCTCATGTATGGCCTTTACTATGTTGAGATAATTTCTTTCAATATTGAATTTGTTGAGAACATTTATCATGAAAGTGTGTTGAATTTTGCCAAATGCCTTAATGCGTCTATGGAGACGATCAGATGATTTTTATCTTTCAGTTAATGTGGCTTCTCACATTGAACAGCTCCCATTGAATGGCGTACGGTCCTTTCCGTGTACTGTTGAATTGTTTGCTAGTGTTTTGTTGAGGATTTTCGCATCTGTCCTCTTTGGGGATATCGACCTGTAATTGTGTTTTTTCGTGGTTTTGTTTGGTTTTCTTGTTCTTGTTTGGTTTCGGTATCAGGGTAGTGCCGGCCTTGAGAAATGAGTTTGGAAGCGTTCCCTCCTCTTTTTTTTTTTTTTAAGAGTTTGAGCAGGCTTGGAGTTCAGCCTTCTTTAAAGTTTGTCAGGGAACACCAGTAAAGCCACCTGCTCCGAGGCTCTGCTGTGTTGGAACGTTTTTGAGTAACCATTCAACCTCCTTACTTGCTATTGGTCTGCTTGGATTTTCTGTTTCTTCATGATCCAGCCTCGGTAGCTTGTATGCTTCTAGAAATTTGTCAGTTTCTTCGAAGTCACCCAGTCCGTTGGTGTACAACATTCACAGAAGCCTCTTCGATCAGTTGTATTTCTGTGCTGTTAGTCGTAATGTCTCCTCTTTCATTTCTGATTTGATACAAGTTGTTTCTCTTTTTTTCTAATCCTAGCTAAAGGCTTGTCAGCTTCATCTTTTTAAAAAACTGGCTCTTAGTTTTGTTGATCTTTTTTATTGTTTTTTCTGTTTGTATTTTTCTGCTATCATCTTTATTATTTCCTTCCTTCTGCTAACTTTGCATTTTTTTCCTAATCCCGTGAGACGTAAAGTTTATTTGAGAGCTTTCTTTTGTCTTAATGTAGGCATTTTTCATCATTAACTCTGTCTTAGAATTGTTTTCATTATATTCCATAAGTTTTAGTATGTTGTGTTTTCATTTTCATTTCTCTCGAGATGTTTTCTGACTTCTGAGTTCTTCTTTGACCCATCGGTTGCTCGGGAGCATGTCACTTAATCTGCACTTATTCGTGAATTTTCCAGTTTTTATCCTGTTATGGATCTCTAGTTTTATACTATTGTAGTTGGAAAATGTATTTGACATGACGACAGCTTTTGTCAAGCTTTGTTTTGTGACCTAACATATAATCTATCCAGGAGAATGTTTCAAGTTCACTCGAAAAGAATATGTATTCTGCTAAGATAGAGTAGTGTGTTTGTTAGGCAGGCATATCAGACATTTAGACTGTTTGCTTTGTAGTGTGTTGTTCAAGTCCACTGTTTCCTTATTGATTTTCTTTCTGGATGATCTATGTATTGGTGTCAGTGGGGAATTAAAGTCCCCTACCATTACTGTGCTACTGTTGATCTCTTCCTTTATGTCCATCGATGTTGGCTTTATATATTTAGGTGCTCCTATATTGGGTGTATAAATATTTGCACGGGTTATATTTTCTTGTTACACTGATTCCTGTATGATTATGAAATGTCCTTCTTTGCCTCTTGGTATAGCCTTCCCTTTAAAGTCAGTTTTGTCTGGTGTAAGTGTTGCTACCCTAGCTTTTCTATTTGGTCATTTCCATTTGCATGAAATATCTTTTTTCATCCCTTTACTTTCGGTTTGTGTGTCTTTCGATCTGAAGCGGTTCTCCTGTAGGCAGCACATGTATGGGTGTTATTTTCTTCTCCGTTCAGCCACTCTGGCTCTTTCGATTGGATTATTTAGTCCACTTACATGAAAAGTAATTATTCCTAGCTATGTAGTATTGCCTTGTTCTTACTCACATTGTTTTCTTCTTCTTAAAGAAGCCCCTTTAACAATTCTTGTGATACAGGTTTGATCACGATGAACTCCCTCACCTTTTTCTTGTCCGGGAAGCTCTTGATCTCTCCTTCGATTCTAAATGACAGCTGTGCCGGGTAAGGTCATCTTGGTTTTAGGTCCTTGCTTTTCATCACGTTGACTGTTTCTGGCCAATCCCTTCCGGCCTGCAAAGCTTCTGTTGAGGAATCAGCTGACAGTTTTACGGGAGCTCTCTTGTGAGTAACCACCTGCTTTTCTCTTGCCGCTTTTAAGATTCTCTCTTTGTCTTTAACCTTTGGGGTTTTAACTGTGATGTGTCCTGGTGCGGGCCTCTTTGGGTTCACCCTGTTTCGGACTCTGTGCTTCCTGGGCTTGTGGGTCTGTTTCCTTCAGCAGGTTAGGGCAGTTTTTCATCATTATTTCTTTGAATCGATTTTCAATTCCTCATTCTCTCTCTTCTCCTTCTGGTGCCTCTGTGATGCGAATGTTGGTGCACTGGATGTTGTCCAGAGGCCCCTTAAACTATCCTCATTTTTTGGATTCTTTTTTCTTTCTGCTATTGTCAGTGGGCGTTTTCTGCTGCCTTATCTTCCTAATCGCTGGTTCAATCCTCTGCTTCATCTAATCTACTGCTGACTCCCTCTAATGCAGTCTTCATTTCTGACTCATTCCTTTTCTGTTTTCTGTCTCTCTGTTCAAGTTCTCACTGAGTTCATCTATTCTTCCCCTAAATTCCTTGAGCCTCCTTATACACAGTGTTTTGAACTCGGCATCGGGTAGATGGCTCGTCTCCACTTTGTTTAGTTCTTTATCTGGAGCTTTGTTCTGTTCTTTCATTTGGGGCCTGTTTCTTTGTCTCCCTGTGTGTGTTTCTATGTATCAGGCAGAGCTGCTCTGTCTCCCGGTCTTAGTAGAATGGCTTTATGTAGCAGGTGTCCTATGGGGCCCAGTGCACCATCTCCCTGGTCGCCTGAGCCAGGTGTGTCCCTTGCGTGGGTTGTGTGTGCCTTCCTGTTGTGGTTGAGCCTTGATCACTGTTGGCCCATCAGTGGGAGGGACTGACCCTCAGGCTGACTGGTCGCGAGGACCGGCCGTGACTACCGTGGAGTTGCCGCTGTGCAGGGGCTGACCCCACAGAGCGGGAGTCACTTTAGCAGGGCTCCGGAGCCTGCCAGTCTGCCCCGTGGGTGTGTTTTTTGTGGCGATGTTTGGGTGGTGCTGTAGTGTGGTCTAAAGCTGACCGCTGGGTGTGTTGGTTCTGGGGCTTCTTGGGAGGGGCTCTGGTGCACGCCCAGGTCAGCTGCTGCCTGTGCCCTGCCTGGGGCCACCTGGTAGGAGCTACAAAGCAATTAATCTGTGGTTGGTAGCTGCCTGTGCTGGGTTTGGAGGTGCCCGGGAGAGGCTATGCTGAGAACCGAAGATGGCTGCCACCAGTGCCAGGCTGGGGCTGCTTAGCGAGAAGTACAGGGTTCGGTGAAGCCAGACGCTGCTTGTTTGGGGTTTGCAGATCTTTGAGAGATTTTAGGAAAGTAGCCGGCACAGGCCAAGGGCAGCTGCTCGTGAAGAACAGCTGTGGAAAGAGGTTCAGGCGGTGCGTGGGTCGGGTGGGGTGGGGTCTCAGGAAATCACCAGAGTGTTGCAGGCGGTGTTAGCTGGGTTGATGGCAACTCAGCTTTGGTGCTTGCCTGGCTCTGCACACCAGGTAGGGGGTGGGCTCAACTAGGGAACAGTGGCTTCTGCCAGCACTTCTGTCCTGGAAGGAGCTATCCGTCCAGCACTCTCCCTGAAGCCAGACAATCCAATTCTTCTGCATGTGTCCCTGGTGCTCATCCAGCTGCTGTCCCTTTTCTGGAGCTCAGAGTGGGTGTTTGTGAGTGAGTGAGTCTGCGTGGAGCTTGTTAAGAGGATACCTGTGTCTATGGCTACCTCAGTCTCGCCCGGACTGATCCGCTGCTGGTGTTTTTCACAGCCAGATGTTGTGTGAGTTCCTCTTTCCAGCACTGGTACTCCGGGCGGGGGAGCCCAGAATAGGGCTGGCACCCCTCGCTCCTACAGAGGGCCATGTGCTGCTAAGATAGTCCCCCCGATTCTCAACCGCTACATGCGGGTGTGGGACCGACCCCTTAAGCATCTCCGCCCCTCCCACCAGTCTCAACGTGGCTTCTTCCGAGTGTCCTTAGTTATAGGATTTCTGTTCAGCTAGGCTCCGGATGCTCCCAGGGTGGTTGTATAATTTAGCTGTGATTTGGAGGCGGCCGTGGGAGGTGACAAGCACACGCTCACCTGCCCCCAGTATCTTGACCGGACGTCTCTGTGCCTGGCCTCCCAGCCTCTCCACCTCACGTCTGGTCTCACTGAAGTCTGTCCGCTGCCAGGGGCGCCCCGTGTGTTACAGAGTCTAACCTTGTCACTCTCTTACTTGAAACCATTCCATGGCTTCCCATTGCTTTTATTTAATGAAATCTGAGCTGCTCACTACCCGTGGCCGGGGCCCTGCACGCCGCTCCAGTCCCATCGTCCCCCCCAGTCCCTCCCTTTCAGAACCCCCTCCGCTCATGAACACCAGCGCCATTTCTTCGCCGCTGTGCCCTCTTCGCCTTGATTGCCCTCCCCGTCGCCTCTGGCCACTCGCAAACGCCTTCGCCCGGCTGAGTCTCACGTCCCCATCCACAGTTTCCTCACGTGTAACTCCCTTCAAGTACCGTCCGTAACCCACCCACCCTGCTCGCCACAAACTCAGGGACGCACACCGCACTCTGTGGCGGGGACCCCTTCCGCCCTCGGCCCACCCCACACGCATGTCCGTCGTCTCACTGTCACCATGCATTAGAATGACATTATTTTGCTCCGTGGTCCTGATTTCCCCATCACTCAACTTCTTGCTGGCAGAAAGCATTTTTTTATTCATATTAGAAGTCCAAGCACAATGCTTAGCGTATATAGACATTTGACAAGTGACTATCAATATTTTTTAAATAACGTTTAATAAAAGAAAAAAATAAATGAATGGAACAAAACAGGCACCACCTTTGAAACGCTCAAGAACCCTTACACTGTGCTCACCTCCGGCTCTGTGTTTGTGTGTTTGTTTGTTCGTTTGTTTTGCAGCTTCCGTCAGTGGACAGTTCGGTGAGTCCTCCTTTCTCGCCTCCGTGTCTCTCTGGATAAGAATGTGTCCCAAATAAATGCGAGTCGTTTGCAGAGGCTGCCTGAGGACTCCTAGCAGCTTGATCTTCGCGCCGAGGCCAGAGGAGTATGAAAGTGTCACCTGGTCTGTCGGCATTGCCTAAGGGGCAGGGTAGCTTCGTTTTACCCTCTGACCCCCCACGGAAGACGTGGCAAGCGCGCAAACAGCTCCCGGCCTTCGCTGGACCCTCGACTTCCTTCCGTTGCGCGCGGTCCCCCGTTAGCCGTGCGCGCCGTCTTCAGCCCCACGGCGACCGAGCGGGATCCGGGGCGGCCACCTGTCCTCTGAAAGCGGGGCGCTGTGGGGAGACCAGCAGGGATGCCGCATTCCCTGCAGCTTTAGGAGTGAAATCCTCCGGGAGAAGTGTGGAGAGGAGAGCATTCGGCAGCCGGGCCCTGAGAGGAAAAGTTGAGGGAGGGGACAGTGACGCGTGCCACACCCTTTCTTACTGCCACACCTAACGCCACTCCCCTGGTCACAGCACCTTGGGTGTTTGAGGGCCCGTGAACAGCAAGCCCTCCCCACAGCCTCGCCCCTCACGCCAGAGCAGCTGCCGGGGCGGGGGATCCTTGTCCAGGTCGCCTCTGGACCGCGGACGATGACCCCCGGTGGGACTTTTCCGGGCGTTTTCGGGGCGCTGTCTGAAAAACGGAAGCGGCAGGCAGGTCGATCTGTCAGGCTTCCCTCAGCGCCCGCACCCCAGGGTTCTCTGTCCTCTTAGGAAGGCGTGACCGATCGTCACAACTCCCTGGGGAGTTTGTGTGAGTCTGTGAATGTTGGAGGGGGGGACTCCAAGCTCCAGTTCTGGGACGGGTGAACTGGCCGTTCCCCGGGGACATCTGGCCACGCGTCCTGCTGCTGTTTCCCCTTTAAACCTGAGCGATCAGCCCCGCCGGACGCGCATCCTCCAGCCACGGCGGCCTCGCCGGGGTCCGCAGGGTTGCTCCGAAGCCAGGTCCTCGGGTCGGAGCCTCAGGCGCCTGTCACGAGGGCTGCAGGCAACTCTGCCTCAGGTGCCTTTGGCTCTCCTCCTCAGAAACTGCACCCAACGCCGTGATTTCGCTCCAGCCACCATGGCCCATCACCTTCCAGGGACAGGAGGTGACCCTGACTTGCCACGTATCCCCCTTCGAGTCACCAGGGGAAACAACATGGTTCCACCTGTACCATGACAAAGAAACATCAAGACAAACCCCAGACAGCACCTGGGTGGTTTGGGAGTCCGGACAGTACAGGTGCCAGGCCGGGGGCTCACGCCCCAGCAGCCCTGTGCACTTGGACTTTTCCACAGGTAAGAGGGAGGGAAAGCAGTAAGAACTTCAGAATCCATGCAGTTGCCCAGAAATGACTCTATATTTACCGAATCAAAATCTACAGCAATAAGACCCTGAAATTCATGTTCTTTATAAGTCGCGTGGGAAAACGAAATTTGAGAAGCAACTTATTTAAATGGTTCCTGAATCTCTGTGCAGTTTGAAGCCTATAAAAAGTCCTCGGAATAAAGAACGGAATAAGGATTATTCATAGTTATAGACAGACACGTTCTAGATGAGAGAGAGCATTTCCTCTCTGTCCCGCCAAGTCCTCCCCTAAGAATTTACCTGCTGAAACAGTCTTAGATATTCATACCCAGGACCGAAGGGACTTAAATGCTCTAGGAAAGAAAACGCATTAAATAAATTACATTACTGCCGCTGGGGGAGGGGGACCTGTGGCCCTCGAAATTCCAGGTCCAGTAATGATATCGATGGCATAGAACATTTTTCATGACACAGCAGGCGAAAAGCAAGTTATCGAAAAGATAAATACCATTCCGATCTCACGAAAAGACAAAACACGCACCGAGTCTCACACACGCGCACGTGGGGAGAGAGCCAAGAAGGCGCATGTCACGGCCAGGGGCTGAGGCAGAGGCTTCATTTGCATTTTTATTTGCATTTCTTCTTTCCAAGTGTTCTCGAGGCGCGTGTGTTCACTTGGGAAGCAGGAAAAAGGAAAATGACAGTGACCTGGCGAACCCTTTTTCCCAGTCCCTGTCCCGACACAACCTACCCGAGCGATGACGGGGGCGGGGGGGGCGATGGCCTGAGACGGTGGCTGGCCCTTGTCTCCTGCAGCCACCCTGATCCTGCAGGCCCCGCTGTCCGTCTTCGAGGGGGACACCGTGACCCTGAGGTGCCAGGGGAAGGAGGGCTTGGAGCTGCACACCAAGACGCTGTACAGGAATGGCAAAGTGCTGGCCGAGCTCGGGGGAGACTCTGACTTTCGCATTCACGGAGCGGGCCAGAAGGACAATGGCGTCTACCACTGCACTGCCCGGCGGGAGGCCTTTGGCTCTGTCACTTCGAACACCATGGAAATCCAGGTCCAAGGTGAAGCCCTCATTGTTCTTGAGACGGGTCAGTGAAAACAAAAGGGTCCCTGAGCTGGAGAGGGAGAGAGGGTGGCCCCGACACCGGCGGACCTCAGGGACCTCAGGGCATGTGCCTGCGAGGGACAGAGAGAGAAAGTGCACGTGTGCCCTGGGCTGCAGGACGCAGGGTCAAAGGTGTGTCGCTGTCCTCGTCTGCGGCCGAGGGTGGAACTGTTGTCATTCTTCTCTCTAGAGCTGTTTCCGCTTCCCGTGCTGCTCACGCTCCTCCAGGGCAGCTCCGGGCTCACCTCTCTGGGAACTGTTGTCATCCTTCTCTCCAGAGCTGTTTCCGCTTCCCGTGCTGACGGCCAGCCCGGCCCAGCCCGTCGAGGGGGGCCCAGTGACGCTGACGTGCGAGACCCAGCTCTCTCCACAGAGGCCGGACGCCCGGCTCTGCTTCCGCTTCTTCAGAGAAGAGCAGCCCCTGGGGTCGGGCTGGAGCTGGTCCCCAGAGCTCCGGATCCTCACTGTGTGGAGAGAAGACTCGGGGTCCTACTGGTGCCAGGCAGAGACGGTGACTCAAAATGTCACAAAGAGAAGCCGGGAATCTCACATATTGGTGCAGAGTGAGTGTCAGTGGGTCCTGGGGCCAGGCAGGGACAGCGACCCGCAGGGCCAGGAAGGGCAGCCTGCCGTCCCACACGCGTGCACAGAGTGGGGCTCGGGGGGTGCCGGCCTGGGGACTGGGCCACGTCCTGTGGGAGCGGGAGCTACAAGTCTGTGGACACGTTAGACGAGCTCAGAACCGAGAAAGTGCGAGAGTGAGGGGCGGCCTGTCTTTTCTTCCGATGTCGTGACAGGCAGCGCGCCCTCCTCCCGCTGAGGGCTCTCTCCCGGGGCACGGCCCTCCGCGGGGCTATGGGCATCGCTGCGGCCCCAGGCCGAGCCCCGACGGGCTGCGTGCACCGTGCTCCACCAGGGGACAGGTTCCTAGAGCGCTCGGGGGCTGGAGAGGAGCGCGTGAGACCCAGACAGCTGAAGGGCAGCGCGTGGGCCCAGCCAGCCGCCCCCGGGGCCGGCGCTGCACCTGCCGCCCCTCCTCCCCGAGTCCCTGCGTCCCCGAAGCGGCGTAGGCATCCGGACACGGCCGGGGACCGCCAGGCACACGCTCCTCTGAGTAGGAGGCCGCTCGAGTGGGACGGGGTGCCTGCCCTCCTCGGCGAGGCGGGGGGCCAAGTGGTGGCACTGTCCATCAGGCCGCTCCCCTCCCCAGGCCGAAACGGGGCTCCATGGCCGTTCTTCTAAGCTGCCCAGACTTAGCCTTCGCTTCTCGTCACAGCTGGCCTGTTTCTTAGCTCACCAGTTGAGGGAGAGACAATTTAGAGAAGGTGGCGCGGTGCTCAACAATTTCTAGCATAGGATCCCCCTCAGCGTAAGTGGTAGCACCCCGACCTCAGGCCCGACCCGGCTCAGGGACCTTCCCTATTCTTTGAGACCCCGGCATGGCGCAGACACACTCCGCCCTGAACCGTCACAAAACCAGGGCCCCCCGGGCCTCGTGACACTTTCCCCAAGGATTCTCCCACTTAGGGGGACCGTCCTGGGCCATCTAACTGCAGGTGAAAGGGCCCGAGGGCGCCCACGGGGCAAAGTCGCCACTGCTGCAGGACAAGTGCTTCAGACGCCAGGTCCCCCTGACCCCTCACCGCCCCGCCCCCTCCCGCAGGCCACACCGCAGTTGGGCGCTGGGTACAATCGGGCTGCCTGGCTGCGCCGTCGCGGGGGACAGGCAGGACACAGGGGGAGCGGGCAGGTCTGCCTCTGTCCTCGTGCCAGACGATGATGCCGTGTTCGGGGGCAGAGGGCCCTCCAGACCCTCCAGGGCCCAGTCGCTCCCTCCCCCAGGCCAGGCCCAGTCCTACTCCCGGGCAGCTCCCTGCAAGTGGCCCTCAGGGTGGGCCCTCCCACCCGTGACCCTGCTCTGGCCGTTAGCACCCCGCGGGCGGCCGTGCCATAGGTCACCTCCGTCCATTTAGGAGTTGCCGCCAACGTCCAAATCCACACTCGCCCGGCGCCAGAGCTGGTGTTTGAAGGGCGGGAGCTGGTGCTCACCTGCTCGGCAACCGGAATCCCGGAGCCTGTGCTCATCTCCTGGCACAGAAAGTCCAGGTCGAGAGCGGTGGAAATTCAGCCTACGAGGAAAGCGGAGCTCAGGATCGCCAGGGTGAGGGGCAGCGACGCCGGGGAGTACCACTGTGTGGCCCGCTCCGGCCGCCTCTCCTTTCCCAGCCCGCCCGTGAGCATCAGCGTGAAAGGTGCGTCCGTCACACGTCACCTGAGCAGCCACTGGGTCGCCAGACTCGTGAAGAGAGTGCGGGACAGCGGGAGGGACCTGGATGCGTCCGTGAATTTAAGAAGAAAAAGGGTCAAGGGCAGAGCCCTGAGGCCAGCCCCAGAGAGCGGGGCAGGGGACAGTCCTTCCACAGTAATAAGGCAGAGGGAGGGGACAAGGTGGAGGTGCGGGTCTGGTGGCAGCAAAACAAGCGCCTTCTTTCCTGAGCATTTTACTTCCTCTGCAAAATGGGAGCGAGGTCACTTAGAGAGAGTGCCACGGGGGGTGGGGGGAGGGGCCAGGGCCACTCGGGAAAGGACCGGCCTGGAGAGGAGAGAGGGGACGGCAGCTGAGCGGCAGCCAGGCCGCCCCAGGGACAGTGGGGGACAGACCGGGCACGTCACCGACCACCGGCCGGAATCCACAGGAAGTGGCAGAAGCAACTGCCGACCGACCCTTTCTCTCCCTCAGTTCCCGTGTCTCGTCCTGTCCTGACCCTCCGCCCTCGGGGGGCGCGGGCTCTCGAGGGCGACCTGATGACGCTTCGCTGCGAGGCCTGGAAAGGCTCAGTCCCGATCCTCTACCGGTTTTTCCACGAAGGTGCCCTCATCAGGGAGATGGAGGCCACTTCTTCGGGAGGCAAGTCCTTCAGCGTCTCTCTGACCGCGGAGCACTCTGGGCGCTACCACTGCACCGCGGACAATGGCCTGGGGGCCCAGCCCAGCAAGGCCGAGCTCCTCTCCGTCACGGGTAGGCCCTGCACTGCGGTCACCGTGCCCCTCGCTCACCAACGCCCCAGCCCCAGAGATGCGCTCCACCGCCGCGTTCCCTCTCCCCCGGGGCAGCCCAGCGCCCCCCACTGCATGTGTCCTTTTGCCGCCTCTCTGTGGAGAGGAGTAAACGCAGGTCAGCGGCCTGGGGCAGAAGCCCGGAGAGGCAGAGTTCCCGTCCAGGACACAGGCAGGGCGGGTCACAGCCAGGAGGACGCTCCTCCTCGGCTGGGCGGGGCCAGCTCTTCCAGGGCGAAAGGCAAGGGACGGGCCAGGGGACGCCGCAGGGTGCGTGTCTGGTGGCCCAGCCAAGGGACTTCTTCCCTGGGAGCCCTGGGAGCGGTGCCCCTTCCCCTGGCACGTGGGGAATGGGCAGGAGGAGGGGCCGGAGGGCGGATGAGGAAGGAGAGGAGGAAATGGCCGGCCTGGGCTGGGAGGGGCTGGGGGGAGCAGCCAGAAGGGGCAAGTGGCAGAAGCAACGGCCGACAGATTTCTTCTGTCCCTCAGTTCCCGTGTCTCGTCCTGTCCTGACCCTCAGCCCTCCTGGGGCCCGGGCCCTCGAGGGCGACGTGATGACGCTTCACTGCGAGGCCCAGAGAGGCTCGGCCCAGGTCCAGTACAGATTTTACCGCGAGGATGTCCCCCTGACCAGCCACTGGGCCCGGTCCGGAGCAGGCGCATCCTTCCACCTCACTCTGCTGGAGGAGCACTCTGCAAACTACTCCTGCACCGCCGACAACGGCTTCGGCCCCCAGCGCAGCGAGGCCGTGTCCCTCTGGGTCATCGGGAA